GGCCCCACTCGTGTCACCGGGGAGAGCGGCGTGTGTGCCCCCCCCTCTCCCGCCCCGTGGGGAGAGCATCCCCCCGGCCGGCGGCCCCCGCTTCCCGCCAGGCAACCGAGCCCCGGGGAGAAGCCGCCGGTCGGGGAGGAGGAACGTGCCCACGGAGGCACCGACCTTCCCACGCCGCGGGGAGGGGGCGGGGGAAGAGACAGCCGCAAACCCCAGCGGGACGGCACCGGGGGCTGTCTCGGGCCAGAGCTCTGCCGGGGGCACCGGGGAGAGCCGTGCCCGGTGTGGGGTGCAGCTGCCAGGGGTCCGTAGGGTCTCCCCGGGGGTGCCCACGTGCGGGTGGGGGTGGCACCGGCGACACCGGGGTACCCAGAGCAGGGGAGCAGCGGGTACCGGCAGTAGTTGGAGCATCCCCGGGTGGGTACCGGAGGTAACGGGGAGCCCAGACCGGGATACCAGGGCTCTCTTGTGAAGGTAGCGGGGGCGTTGTGCTGCTCAGGTGGGGGCACCGGGAGCCACCGGGGTGCCGTGGCGGGGGTACCGGGGCGTGCCGCCCTGCCATTCTCTCCAGCAACCCCTCACCGGAGGGCTCCCATTGGCGGAGCGGGATATTCCCCCCCGCCCCGCGGCCAATGGGCCGGGGGGGGGCGGTGCCTCCCATTGACAGAACCGGCGCGGCGGTGTTTACCGGGGGCGGGGCGGCGGCGGCTATAAGAGCGGCACCGGGGGGCGTGCGGCTCCCGGGCTGCCCGCACCCGCCCCCGCGCAACCCCCCGACCCGCACCCGCCGCAGCGTCCCCGCACCGCACCCCACCGGAGCATCCTCCGACTCAACCGGGGGAGAAACCCCGGGGGCGGCGAGGAGCATCTCCCTCCAACCGGTCCGGAGCATCCTCGGACCAGCGGGGAGCATCCCCGGGACGGTGCGGAGCATCCCGGAGCATCCTCGGGGCGGTGCAGAGCATCCCTAGGGCCGGTGCGGAGCATCCCGGAGCATCCCCGGGGCGGTGTGGAGGATCCCGGAGCATTCTTGAGCCGGTGCGGAGCATCCCCGGGGTGGTGCGGAGCATCCCGGAGCATCCCCGGACCGGACAACCGCGGAGCATCCCCGAGCTCGGAGGTCACCGGACCGACCCCGGGAACCCCCTCCGGAGCATCTCAGCGACCGCCGCCCCGGCGGAGCCGCCCCCGCCGTGCGCCCCCGGGCCCCGAGCCCGCCAAGCCGCCCGACACCCCGCAGGAGCCCACCCCGGAGGTGCCCACCGAGGACTGCCCCGCGGAGCCCGGCACGGCCGCCTGGCACGTGGCACCCAGTGGGGAGAGTGGCCCCCAAGAGCCCCCCGCGCCCCCCAGCCCCGCTGCCACCTGCCCCGAGCCGGGGAGGTCCCCGGAGAGCGGGTCCCCCTCTCCCATGTCAGCTGGGTCGCCTCCCTCCTCCTTCAGCTCCTCCGATGAGGAGCTGGAGGAAGAGCTGCTGGGGGTCCTGCCTGGGCGGGCTGCCACGGGTGCCACCACCTGCGGTGCCCTGGACTGGTCCGTCTTCGACAAGGACCACGACCTCTTCCCGCGGGGAGGCTCCTCGCACTTCGAGTTCCCGGACTATTGCACGCCCGAGGTGACGGAGATGATAGCGGGGGACTGGCTCATGTCCAGCATCTCGGACTTGGTCTTTACCTACTGAGTCCCGTGCTCCGCAGGTAACACTCTTTTTTTTTTTCTTTTTTTTTTTTTTTTTTTTTCCCCCAATCAGGCCATAGAGAGAAAAAAAAAAAAAAAAAAATAATAATCAAAACCAGCTGTTTACATGCAGGAATCAGGTATTTTTGCCTTGAAGCCGCTGGAAGGCAGAGCTCCCTGCTCACCCCGTCGCCCCCCGGCACACACCCACTCCTCATCCCTCCCTCTGTCCGGGCCTTGCCTCGTGCCCGCAGGACGCCTGGCTCGCCCGCCGTGGTCGTTTGCCCGTGAAATGCAAACGTCTCCTCGGGTTTTCATTGTCAGTGCCCGGCCCCTTCCCCCTGTGGCTCTGGCCACCGCGGTGTTGCCGGCCATGGCTGCTCCCGCCCGCTGCCCCGTGTTCCCTCCCGCTCTCCGGGAGCACCCACGCCAGCCCCGGCTCCCGGTGCCCGCCCTGCCGTGCCCATTCCCTGCGGAATGGCCAATTCCTTTTGCTTTTCGACTGCGTTTAAACCATATCTTCAATTTTCTCCTCTTCCTCCTCGCAGCCCTTGGGGAGGCATCCCCCAGCTGCACCGTGTTTAGGGGTGACAGAGCCACGTGGAGCTCTCCCTGCTCGACACCCCCGTTTTGTGGGGGGATCCCTGGCTTTTGGGGGTTCGGCGTCCCACGGGACTGGCTCTTTCCCTGCGGCGTGCGCTCCCCAAAGCCGCTGACTTTGGGAAGAGCGAAAGTTGCACGCACGTGATGCGCACGTGGCCGCGGGAGGCTGTGTTGTTCCTCTCCCAGTGCAGAGACAGCTCTGCACCCCAAAACCCAGCAGGGACGAGCCCTTCCCGGAGCAGCCAACCCCCATTTTAGCTTTTGGGAACCGGTGCCCACGTGGGACCCGCTCCCATCTGGATTGTCTCAGCCGGCAGAGCCGGGTCCCACCATGCCCAGCCATGGTGGGCGATGCTGCCGGGGTGGCGGGGATGGAGCTGGGTGGCTGGGAAGGGATGCTGAGGGAAATCTGCCTTAAGCAACCCCCCAAACGGAGCTGAGAGCAGCGGCAGCTGATGCCGGCGGGCGCGCGGCGTGTGGGCGATGCTCCGGCGGGGTGCTCCTCCACGTTGTGCCCCGCCAAGAGCAGGAGCTTCCCAGCGGAGCACTGCCAAGGAGCTTCCCCGGTGGGGAAGGTCCTGCTGCAGCGGCTCCTCCAGCCAGGGTTTTTCTTTGCTTTTCCTAATGGCTCCTTCCTGCAACGAGCTGCCTCCTCCTGCTGCCGGGGAGCACGTGGCTGCAGTGCTGGCTCGGCGGCTGCCGCTGGCTGTATTTGTGGGGCAGGGGCTGCGCTCAGGTATGGCTGTGCTGGGGGGGGTGTCGGTGGGGACCCCGGCCACCCCGAGCTGCCAGCCCCAGGGATGAGGCCGTGGCAGGGGCTGGCAGCGCCTGGAGGAGCTGTACTGGGCTCGGCAGGGACTCGCTGCTTCAAGTAGCCTCTGAGGTTCCCCCACATCCCCAATTCCCCGGGTGCTCTGGGTGTGTGAGAGCCCCTCTGACCCCTCCTGGGCAGTGGGGTGCTGGGGGCTGTGGGGCACCTGCTCCCTGGGGCTCTGCCTCCCTGTTTCGGGGCTACCGGTTCCTCCAGTCGCAGGCTGCCCCGTACCTGCTTGTTGCTGTGGGGCTGGATGGAGCTGCCACCAAGGGAAGGGCATTGCCCCCCAACCCTGGGCCCCGGTGTCCCCCCCAGGGTGGCTTGGAGGCAGGGGCTCAGCCGTGGGGGGGGCACCACGGTGCCAGGAGAGGTGTGACCCCGGGGCCCTTGGTAGGGATGCTTGGTGTGTCCCAGCCCTGTCCCGAGTGGCCCTGGGGCGGGGTCAGCTCCCTGACGGCCACCCATCAGCATTGTAGATGTGTCGGTGTGTAGCGGTAGCCGTGCGTGTGTGTGTGTGTGTGTCGGCATTGCGTTAAGCCGCGGTGTTTCCGTAGCCCCGGTGCGGGTGCCAGCCTGCGGAGGCAGGCGGGTGTCACGCATCAGACACGTGTTCCCCGTTATAGAGCGCGTCCCCGTCCCTGCTCCCCGTGCCCCCCATCCCCAACCCCCCCAGGCCGTTCCCCACCAGACCCAAATAAGCCAAATAAGCTCCGGGCCAGCCCTGGTGCCGGCAGCCTGCTCCCGCCTCACCGCCGGCCCGGGGGGGTTCTGCTTTCCCACCCCCGGGGCAGCCCCACGCCAGGAGCACCCAAAGCCCCTTCCCATGGGTTTGGGGTTCCTGTGGGGTCCTGCGGCCCTGGGGGCTCTCCAACGCGCACAGCACCTCGGTGCCTTCTCGGGGTGTGTGGTCACCCCACGCCGTGGCCAGAAGCGCTTGGCAAAGGTGCCGAGGCTGCCGGCCACCCACCCTCCATCCCCGTCCGTGGGGAAGCCAAAGCCCCCAGGTATTGGCAGGGCCCGAGGCCACGGTGAGGGTCTCACATCATACGTGTGCTTCGCCAGCCTTGGGGCTGCACCTCCTCTTCCCAGTGCGGGGGAAGGGGGGAGGACACAGGTGGCCCAGAGTCCTGGTGGTCCCCCACGTGCTGAGCATCACCGGTGGGCTTGGGGGGGGCTCCCTCCATGGACTTTCAGGCGAAACGTTTTCCTCAGGAGCAGGTTCTGGGTCAGCGCCAGAACCGGAGCCAGAGCTGGGGTGTCCCCCCCCCCTCAACCCCTGCTCTGGCCACAAGCACAACACC